GAACAAGTGTCTTCAACTCTTGGTCTTCCCTTTTATATTATGAGGATGATTGGAAATAATAGTGAATCCATAAAATGTTTTTGCAGCTAAATTACATTTTTAATGTTATGTTAGAATAGAAACACCCTTTTAAGGTAGTGTATCACATCTTCTTTGTGGTCCAAACTAGGATCTTAGTCCAGTAAATTGAAATTAAGCAGCAGGTCTTCAAATACTTGCTACACCTTTATCCCCATTTCTTCCTTCCCACTACCCTAGGATTCTCCATGAAAAATTAAATTTTAATGTTCACCTTCATTCAAACACATATACAAACATGCACAAACATTACCTGCTTACATATTTTAGAGCCAGAATTTCCCCCATCACCCTGCACTGATATGACAGCTTTAGAAAGATAGAAGCTACCTCATTTTTAAAAAATATATATTTTATTGATTTTTTTTTTTACAGAGAGGAAGGTAGAGGGATAGAGAGTTAGAAACATCGATGAGAGAGAAACATTGATCAGCTGCCTCCTGCACATCTCCTACTGGGGATGTGCCCACAACCCAGGTACATGCCCTTGACCGGAATCGAACCTGGGACCCTTCAGTCCGCAGGCCGACGTTCTATCCACTGAGCCAAACCGGTTTCGGCAAAACTACCTCATTTTTTGAACAACAAAAAAAGTGTGGATTCTTATTGATTCCTTTGCTTTCATAACCAGACCTCAGGAAACACAGCATTCTAGTCTCTAGCAAGCCTAGCAACATTATTTTCTCATTTGAATTCCTCAACTCTTTAGAGGATATGTTTACATTCTTATGACCTTACAGTTCAGCTCTTACCTAATTCTAGAATAGATTCCTTAGCAGGTAATGACTTCTAGTGCCTGGAAGTAAGATAGCAGGAAACCCGCCCTGCCAGCCTCCCTTCTGCGGAGTCTGCTCCAGATCTCTGGATTGCTTGCATGTCTCAGAGTCCAAAATTTGCAGCAGCATTCCCTGGATGTTCCTGTCTATGTCCTAGCCCCTGGGTTCTTGGCTGTCCCCCTGTCCTACACATGTCCACATGATTTGTGAGAGCTGTAGCCAGTCTTCCTCATAGAAAATGGGAAGGGAAATGAATGGAGACCTGGCAGCATATTCTTTTAGAAGGGTTTCTGTTGCCTGTGTAATGTCATCCCCCTGAACACACAATTTATTATTGTTATTAACATGAATTTACCATTAAATTTCTCCAAACAATGTGTTGATCTTACCAATTAGTAGGTCCTGCTATGTAGTTCTCTGTTATTCATCAAGAAAGGTCATGTGTATTTGATCTTTAGAAAAAAGTATAGATAGGATTTCTAAACCATTAGATATTAAAACACACACACACAGAGTCAGGGTAGAGGGTACTACAATAATAAAAGCAGGGTCAATTGGTAAACGACAAGAAAAGGAGCAAAACAGGAAGAAAACAATAATAGAATACATATTATAAAATGGCAGGAATAAGGTAACATATAATAATAAATGTGACTAGGTTAAATTCCTTTAATAAAATCAGTGACTCTCAGGTTGATTAAAAAGATAATCTAGCTTATATGCTGTCTTCAAGAGTCATATGTACACAGTAAGGAAGAAAAGAAAGGGATAGGTTTGTGAATGCTAACTAACAAAACAAAAATAAGATGGTAATATTAATATTAAAAAGTGTAGGGTTAAATGTAAAAAGAAATATTAAATAAGGAATAAGAGAAATAAGTCAGACAAGAAGATTCAATAATAACAAACCTTCATGCACTGAACATCTTAGCACTGGATTAGATAAAGTAAATTTTATTAAAAACACAAGTAAAATAATACAAATAAAAATATAAATAAATAATTTACAGACACAAAGTTTTCATAATTATAGTGGGAAACTTTAACAAAAATGCTTTCTGAATTTGATCAAGTGGTCAAATATAAGTAGGAACAAAAGATTTGAATAATATCATTTTTGTTATTGACCTAACCTAACAAATAGAAAATACTCACAGTTTTTTAAAAGACATGGAGCATTTACAAGAGTTGATGAATACTAGACCAAAAAGAAACTTTACAATTAACCAGGAAGTAGATATACTGGTCACATATGACAATAACAGCATTGAAAATTAACGGAAGATGGCTCCTCCATCCAAGCACTTCGAAACTAAAATATGACCCTTTTAAATAATTCTTGGCTCAAACAGGAAATCACTACTCAAATTATAGACTATTTAAAAATTAACAATGAGAATACAATGCATTGACATGTGTGGTACAGAACTGAAAGTATACTCAGATAAAAAGTTAAGGCTTTTATTTAAAAGGACTGAAAAAAAACAAAGTGAGTTTGTAACAAGAAGCTAATAAATGAAAAACAAAACAAGACAAAGTCAGTGGAAGGAAATAACAAATGTAAATTAATTACCTTTATTACAAAAATTACGATTTTTTCTAATAAATTAGAAAAATAGATTGGCAATAAGGCAGAAGTGCAGAGTTTATGGGAAAGCTGCTGGAATGAGCTTGGAAAGCTGAGGTAATGGTCTGAAGGAAGCTGTCCCTGTCCTTAATTGCCACTTAGGTTTGACTGAGGTGAAAAGTATGTGCAGAAAATAATTAGAGAGCAGGACTACATTCAATAAAGTGCCTGTTTGTGAGTGGTAGATGGTAAACCTATGACCACAAAGAGCAGCAGCGGACTCTGGGTGTCTGGTGTCAGGCAGAGCTGAATTTGCACGTTGGCTTCAAGCTTATCAAAGGGCCCTGGACAGATGATTTAGCTTCTCTAACTTGGTTACCTTTTCTGAAAAGTGGTGATCACAGTACCTACCTCTCAGGATTACCGTGAGAATTAAACAAAAGTATTAATATGGAAAGCATTTAGCTCCGTGCTTGACGTGTGGTAAGGGCTTGGTCAATATTAGTAGTTTCCTAAGCAAGTCAGTGCAGCATCTCCTGCCAGTCTCTTCTGGGTGTTGGTGAGATGATTAGGGCGCTCTCAGTAGCTTAGTACATTTTACCCAGGAGTGAGACAGAAAATAGTGTTTCCAGTAGCTAAGTTCCGCCTACCTGGATGAAAAGATTGGCATTATGTCTGTGGCTGTGAGATAGACCCATGGTGAATGGTCAAACAGGACTCTGTCTGTAAAGAGAAAACTTCTGTGAAACATGATGCTCCCAAAGCAGTAGTGGTTCGGTCTTGAGCTGGAGAGAAGATCCTGGCCTGTTCTGCCCATCGGCAGTCAGTTGGCTTCTCTGTGGGAACGGCAGAATCCAGGAGTCCTTCCTGGTCTGTAAAGGCTTTTACTCTTCATCAGCAGGAGATGTCATTCTCACCACCCTTCGGCGTCAGCAGCAGGGTCCTCAGGCGTGATGTTGGATTCCTGAGAGCTTGAAAGGTAAACATAAAAGGAGTCAAATAGTAAACACAGAAAAAATGGAAAATTTAATGCCCACCTCTTATCTGTATTTAGGACTTGAGAATTTGTGGTTTGAGGCAAAGGTAGAATAGGTATGGGAGTTGGTAAAAACCATGGGTTGTTTTAATGTCTGTAGATGCTACACATCAAACCACTTCAACATATGTGTTCGGTAGAGGGAAAATCGGTGAAAGTAGTTAATGGATGTCTCTGGTTCAAACAAGAGCTAATTGACTGCTCTACTTTCTCCCTTCCCAAGACGCTATCAACTGTAAGGTATAACCTCACATTAATGACATATGGGGGAGGGGGAGAGATGTGATTTTAACATAGGCACTTTGATTTCAGGGACATTAAAATATGAAGGAGAAAACATTACCAATAAAAACATGCATCTTGGAATTTCACTTGGTATTTTGGTGTTTTCTCCCTGGTAAAGGCTAGCACTAATTTTATGAAAGCAATAAAAAAAAACTTTTTTTTCTTACTAATACATGTGGCAGAACTAATGAAAATTAAAGGCAAAGAAAAATTTTTCTCAGGCCCATAGTTATTTTCTTTCATTCTCTTATGAAGAAGGAAAAATCACGGACAGCTGGGGAGGTGCACACGGTGAGACTGGAGCATCTTGTATTGCCAGAACTTAAGGAAGAGCTCACAAACCAAAAGCAAAGCACAGAATTGCTAGAAGTATGTCAGAGGAGCCCACGGACCAACTGAGAGAGCTCCCAATGGCCAAAGGAGAGCTATCTGAACAGCAGAACAGCGTTGAATTATAACCCAAAATAAAAAATAAATGTCCATGAAGCCATGCTGACATAAATAAAAGATTGAATAAATTAAGAAGCAGATAAAAGAGACACATCTTCCATACAGAAGAATTCCAAATAACTTACATAGATACTCCACCCTCCCGGCTTTCCTTCTAAAGTGTACAGTATGGAAAGGGGTGGGAGCCCCTTTACAGAGGAGAAACCTGACACCTACTACCTCGGGCAATCGAGGCCGACATCAACAGTATTAAATTATGTTGGTGATATGCTTGATATGTGATTAAAATGGCACTTTACCTCTGTGGTCTTACTCCAAATAACCCATAACTCCAGTCTTACCATAAGAAAAAAAAAAAAAAAAAACATCAGAAGACAAATCCCAGTTGTGGGGCATTCTACAAAATGCCTGACATGCTCAAAACTGTCAAGGTGATCAAAACAAGGAAAATCTAAGAAACTGGCACAATCATAAGGAGCCTAAGGCGACATGATGACTAAATGTAATGGGATGGGCTCCAGGGACAGAAAAAGACACTGGGGGGGGGAAACTTAGAAAAATCTAAATAAACTACGGGCCTTACTTCATAATAATGCATCAATATTGGTTAATTAATGGCTACTCATATAACATTCTAAAGGTAAGATTTTTAATAGTGGGGAGGGAGACTGTGTGCATAAAGGATGGGAATTCTGCGTTCTTTATTTTTCTAATAATCTACAACTGTTCTAAAAAATAAACCTTATTAAAATTTTTTAAATGCCTAAACAGGAAAAAAAAAAAAAAAAGAAGAAGAAGAAGTAGAACCTCATGGACAGGACACCAGGTTAGGGATCTCAAAGGAAAGTTATGAAGCATTTTGTTAAGACCTTTAAAAATTCCACGCAGAGCCTGGCTTAAGTAGAACATATGTAACTGCTTAGTTGAAAAATGGAACTGGCAGCTTCACCCAGAATGTGACACTTCTAAATACATTCAAATGGAGCCATTATTATTTCTCATCTATGTAGTATTTTGTTTTTGCAAGATGGCAAAATTTCACCATTACTCCTATGCCATGCTTATATCCATCTCGACTCAACCGGCTAATCTAACTGTACAGTTCAATCAGAAAACCAGCCCTCAGTTGTCAGAACGGTAAAACAGTTTTCCGTGTTTTCAAAGCCAGAAATGCAAGCATGCGGTGAGACTTCAAGGATTTACTGTTGTCCAAAGTTCTGACTCTCAGGACTCATTTTCTCACTCGGTGTTCGCACATGGAAAACTTCATTGGGGAATTATAGGGTGACGTTTTCAAGACCTGGAACAGTGAGATTGTCTACAGTTACCTTTCTAAAAACCAAACCAAAAAATCCCTGTAAAAGCATTTGGAAAAAAAACTATTCCAGGGAAGCCAAGTATAAACAACTTTCTGCACTGAGTCAAGCTGTACAAATTGCAGATATTCCCTGGTGCGGGCATCATTTTACTCCCACACACCACTTCCTACATCCAGCAGCTCCAGTGTGTGTGGACCTCCAGAGAGCGAGGGGAGTTTTACAAGGAAAGAGAGCACTCACCACAGGAACAAGGAAACTAGAAAAGGCACCCTGGGCTCCGTGCTGGGTCCTGCCTCAGCTCTTCCACACCCCCTTGGAGACAGAGGGGCACACCCAGCCACCGCCCCCCCTGCTCCCCAATCCCTTGCCAGGCCAGCATCAGGCCCCCATAGCCAGGGCTCACATGCCACCAAGAACCCCCACCATCCCACAGGAAGATGTCAAGATCAGCCCTTTGACGGGGAAACCAAAGGCTGGCGTATTTGTATTTCGAGATCAGCAGAAGCCCTGGGGGGCATAGAGTATGGTGACTTTGCTGAACCAAGAATTAGGACACGCTGTTTGACAGCAGGACTGATTCGATTGGATGTGAACTTGAGACTGTCCCAGGAAATTCCGGGCGTCCCTGCAGGATCCAGAGATGTGAGCTGAGCCCTGTGTGTACTCTCCTGTGGTGGCGCCCTTACCAGGGCAGCCCGGGGACATCCCGGGCACATGCCACCCGCCCTTCCTCATCCTCCCTCTTCTGCTGGAGGGCAGTGGCCCAGGCCTGGACCCATGATGGGGACAGGCGAACACCCAGCTCCGCTGAGCGGTCCACCCCTTCTCAGCTGCCTCCCCGACCCCAAGAAGGGGAACCCCGGAACCCAAGAGTCTGCCTCTCCCTTTCCCCGCTCCCTCCTTGGGGAGTCACCAGTGCCAGGAGCACAGACAGTGCCCTCCCGCCTCCTCCCAGGCTCAGCTCCTCCACCTGTGCCTGGGGAAGCCTGCAACCACCTTTGGGGTAGGCAACCCTGCCTGTGGACGCGGGTTCCCCAGTGTGGAGCAAGCAGCGAGAGGGTGTTATCACATGGCCCTGACCGCGGAGAGGCAGTCAAAGAAGGTGCAGTGAGGAAGTGTAGTGTCACATGCAGCGCTCACAGGAAACGGGCCAGCAGCTAGCACGGGAACTTGAGAACGGGGTCGTTTGCAGCCGATTAAAACAACACAGGTTAGTGCTCCCCCCCCCGCCCCCCCCCCCTAAAATCTTCCATAGCCGCTCTAAAATGCCTACCCAGCTCTCTTTCCTGAGCTGCCTTTATTTTTGTAATGGGAGGTAACCGCTCTGGCTTTGAATGGAACAGCCACACGTTGTTAGAGGAACACGCATCCAGCCATTATTGTGAAAAGGAAATCCACATCGCTTGCTGCCCTGCTTGGAACTTCTGTGCCTTTAAAAAACAAGCCTGGAGATGTGCACTCAGTAACTTACTTTGCGGAATTCAGCTAAGCCTCTGCTCCGTTCACCTATCAGCATAAGTCTGCGGTGGGACGGATCAGCTCGTGTTTGCAGGCGGATCCGGGCGTTCACAGGGCTGCAGAGCAGGGATATTTTGGGTAAAATCATGCTGCGAGGCTGCCTGCAAAGGTTTGTTGTTTGGGGCGTACTTTTCATCTGGTAGAGAAGCATCTTTTGGCTTTGTTAAAATATGTGAAAATACTTTATCGTGTCTTTATACATTCTTAAGTTCCCCTTTCTATTTTTTCTGTCCTCTTTCTTCCTTTTTTCCTTTCCTTCTTGTACTGACACACACGGGGAGCAGCGAAGAGGCTGGGCAGCTTGAACCTGAGATGAGGAAGTCCCCTGCAGTGTAAGAAGGCGCCCAGCCTGGGCTGGGGCTGTGCGGGGCCTGAGGAAGCCCGGAGGTCTGGCTGTTGTGTTTTCAGCTCGTGCTTCCCATGTATAAAGAAAGATTTGAAGAGTCTAGAGAAGAGCCTGGGACCTAGGTCAAAGGTTGGAAATTAGAGCCCAGAAACAGCGGAAGGGCCCAAGATTATTCATCCTGAGGCCACGAGGGACAGTTGAATTAAGAACTTCAAGTCAATGAAAGGTCCCTACACAAACCTGATGCTTTCGGACCTATCGGAGGAAGGAATCTGTCTCAAATTTGAGTTAGAAGAAGGAAGTTACTATATTCTTGGACTATGTTAAGGACTAGAACAGGTTAGCCAGAGAGGATGGTGAGTTGTGGGGGGTTTTTTTCTGGGCATTTTTGAAAACGGAGACTTCTTCTGTGGCTCTGTGGATGTGTTGCTAGAGGCTGGGAGAGGGATGGAGAGAAGGGACCAGGATTGGTAGCTTCTCATTCTATCTTTTCATGCCATAGTGTTTCAGTGTCTGGACTGGAAAACAACAACGGAGGGGTGAGGGGTAAATGGACTCACATGTTGTTTACACCCCAGGCAGGCAAAATCACCAGGAGAGTGATGAAAGACAAAAATCATTGTTTACTTTGTCCTCGGATTGCCACATTTTTCATGTTTTACTACCATGTTGTGTAAGAAAATGGAGAGGAAGTGGACAGAATCAGGGAGGATCCTAAGTTGGGGATCGCAGGCCAAGTGGTTTGAGAAACCTTGCACTGGGTCGACAGAGGCAGCCACGTTCCCATGGGGGAGGCGGTGGAGGGGAGATTGGAGTTTTTTTGTATTTGGAGCCCTTTGCATGAAGCAGTGTTCCCCGGGAGGAAACATAGGGGAGCTGCAGGGGGCAGGTCTCTTGCACGAGGTGCCAGGAGCACCCTTGAGCACCCCGCAGGCCTACAGCTCAGAGGAGGCCCGTCATCCCTAGAAGGAGCTCCTCTTTCGGTTTTGTTTTGCTATTTTGCTCTTTTTCATTGGTCCTAGAGCTTTGTTGTTCAGGAATTTTCGTATTTAGCTAATGTGCTGTTCATAGTAGAAAAGGGTTTTCTATTTTGCTAAAATGCTTTCCAGATGGACCTGATGTTTTTTGTAAATGCATCCTTCCAAAAAGCTGTTCCCCTTCTTCTGAGGCATCTGTTCTCTGGGGCCGTCTCTCACCCCCTTCTCTAGCTTCCCACCTTCACTGTGTTCCTTTGTGTTTGAGATGCAAGAAGACAGATTTATAGAGTGTCATTATTACACAATGCCTGTTTCCCAGACCTGGACGTGGATTCTGGAAGAAAAAAAAAAAAGAAGACAGGGAATGGGCAGAAGGAGGTAAATCATGGGGGATAATGGAGAGCAACTGGAATATTAATCTCGCATGTAAGTTTTAGACAGGAATTACTTCCAACTTGAATACTGAGTTCAGTTTGAAAGTCAAAAGTAGAAAGAGATAAATGGTCACCTTTTGGCTAGAGAAAAAGTGGTGAATTTTATGGGGCATGTTACTGAATTCTATAAGTAAGGAGGAGGAAGGGGGCTGACGTTGCAAATCTCTCTTCTCCTGGACCTTGACATATAGGCAGGCCTCTTCTCCCCCAAACCCCAGAGTCAGCATCCACCAGTGTTTAGGTGGCCTGGGTGTTAGAGGGATGAAATGATGAGTTATCATTCATGCTGGGAGGGAAAAAGAAAAGAAAACTCTGACGAGTGCAACCTTTACCATGAAGTTCATCCTGGGCCATCTTTTTTAGTTGACATCAGCAAGTCTGGAGGCCCAGCTCTCTGGACTCCTCAGAGAGAAGCCCCTGGCGATGGGTAAGGCCATCATGCTGAGAAATACAGGGAGTCATAGTTTGTTTTTTAAATTGTGATAAAATACACATAACATAAAATTTACCATCTTAACCATGAAGTGTGTAGTTCAGTACTGTTAAATACATTCACATGGTTGTACAACCGATCTCCAGAACTTTTCCATCTTGCAAAATGAACAGAGAGCCATTCATCAACTCTCCCTTTCCTTCTCCTCCAACCTCTGGCAACCATGTTGTACTTTCTGTTTGTGAGTTTGACTACGCTAAGTACCGCATGTGAGTGGGATCACATGGGGTGGCCAAAAGTAGGTTGTAGCCCATGTGTCAGAATTTCCTTCATCTTCAGGGCTGAATAATATTCCATTATATATATATATATATACCACATTTTCTTTATCCATTTATCTGTGGATGACATTTGGGTTATTTCTACCTTTGGATATTATGAACAAGGCTGCTGTGAACATGGCTATACAAATATCTCTTTGAGATCCTGCTTTATTCTTTTGGGTACATACCCAGAAGTGGAATTTCTGGATCATATGGGAAATCTATTTTTAATTTTTGAGGAACTGCTATACTGTTTTCCATAGCAGCTGCACCATTTTACATTCCCACCAACAGTGCATAAGGGATTCTAATTTCTCCACATCCTAGACTATACTTGTTATTTTGTTGTTTTGTAGCAGCCATCCTAATGGGTATATGATGATATCTCATTTTTATTTGCGTTGCCCTAATAATTAGTGATATTGAGTATCTTTTTATACTCTGGTTGACCATTTGTGTATCTTCTTTGGAGAAAGGTCTGTTCAAGTCTGTTGCCCATTTTTTTAATGAGGTTATTTGGATTTTTGGTGTTGAGCAGTAGGAGTTCTTTATTCTAGATATCAAAGAACCATAGATTTTTTTAAGCTTTTATTAAGTTTTATCTTTTTGTTGTATTTAATCCTCAACCAAGGTTATTTTGTCATTGATTTCCAGAGAGAGAAGAAGGGACAAGTAGAGACAGAGATAGAGAAACATCGATGTGAGAGAGACACATTGATTGGTTGCCTCCCACATGCACCCCAACCAGGGCTGGGGATTGAGCCTGCAACTGAAGTACATGCCCTTGACTGGAATCAAACCCAGGACCCTTCAGTCTGTGGGCTGACACTCTATCCACTGAGCCAAACTGGATGGGATCCATACATTTTTTTTTAAAGTATTGAATATTCAGGTTCTAATGTCCACATCATTTGCTACTAGCCAGTTACCTCCTGTGGTTTACAGCTGTGAAAAGAGCATGAGTTTCAATAATATGTGTGTGTTTTTCAGCAATATATTTTTATCTTGACCCAGAAGTGCTACACAAAAAATCTTAGTCATTTTCAGCTTATAAGCAGTTCAGTTTTCAAGAGCTTACAAAGGTGAGGGGAAGGAAAGGAAAGGGAAGAGAAGAGGTAGCTTGAGATGTTTTTTATTCCTCCTGTGATTTATACTTTTTTGGTTACATAAACTTCAAGAAAAAGCCTTACCTGGATTCTGTTGACTAAAGCCAGACTCCATACAGAAATAAACATACTTTCTGAGAATCATCCAGTAATTATGTCTTCTTATACCTCCCTCCCTCCAAACCTGCAGACTTCAAGGTAACTCAGATCATAAGATCATTGTCACTTTCCTTTGTGAACACCTCAAACAAAATGTTATATTTTGCTTTTAAGGAGTAAGAGGACTTGGGCTCTTGGAAATGGAGCAAGAACAGTGTGATTCCTGTGGAGGTGCGGGCATGTGGTTTGTTTAGATTGCAGATTTTCTGGAAGGAAATGATGAGGGAGCTGTGATGGAAGTTTGACACAGTGCAGTGTGGTTTTAGGTGCTGTCTTCTAAAGAAATATTATTAAGGCTTATTTATACTTATTAATTCTCTGTTACACTTCCAGGGAAGGGATTGCCTTATGCCTGATTGATTTTTCACTCTGCCATTTCAATTTCCCTCCACTTCTTCAGAAATGTATTGTTTAAAAAAAGGCTTTCAAAAAAAGCCTCTTAGTGCAGGGGTCCTCAAACTACGGCCCACGGGCCACATGCAAATACAAATATTGTATTTGTTCCCTTTTTGTTTTTTTACTTCAAATTAAGATATGTGCAGTGTGCATAGGAATTCGTTCATAGTTTTTTTTAAACTATAGTCCGGCCCTCCAACGGTCTGAGGGACAGTGAACTGGCCCCCTGTTTAAAAATGGCAAGAACAGTTGCATTTGTTTGTTTGTTTATTAAAGGATGGAGGAAAGCTTTTCCTTAAAAAGAATAAACTGGGAAAAGATGAGTCTTCAAAGTAGAATCCTGTTATGCTGCAACAAACCAAATCTAAGAGCCGCCTAGTCCTAGCTTATGTGACATCCTATGTCAGCTTCACCAGGTGTTCATATACCACCAACTCTGTAATTTCTCAATACTAATTAGAAGTTACTGCTTTGAGACTGTCTAGCTGGCTAGCTACTACGGTGTCTGTTTTGGTACT